ATGAAGGTCCCCCTAACAATGTTATCTCAGGAGATTCATCGAAACCAAGTTTCTCTTCGTATCTACTATTGATACGTTAATCTATGACTCGAATTGCGCCAGAGCTGTTGATGTGATCAAAACGAGGGGGGAAGATAAAGGTTTAATGGGATAAGTGGAGTCACCATTAGTTGTTATAATAACATAATACAGATAGTATGCGTTAGCATCACTTGCACTCTTGATAACCGCTCCCACCTGATAATGCTACCAAAAGTTAGGATATCTACAGTCAACTGACAATGGCAACAGGCTTATTCTGGTATTTCTTTTGTGTTACGAAATTTGCTCCTTGGGGATCGAAGTCAGCCAGTAATTAGATTGCAACAAACTTGAACTTTGGAGACAATATAGCAAGGATGCATGATTCAATCCGGTTTTAGGCAAAAGACCCGAATTTATTGGTTCAAATGTAAGACAATGCAGATCCTCCGCGTTAACAAGAATCTCTAGGTCCGTCCAGTTGACCTTGAAGATGCATGAAGTGTCCATTACACAAGATCACTACTTGAGACTGCTGAATTGGTTGACAAACTATGATGCTTCCGGCCCTTCTATTAAAAGCGAATCTTAAGATGGAGATGACGAGATAAAGCAAAAGCCTATAATCTGGTAGGCACTCTTCGCCCACTTTAACAGTCAGTTTAAATTCTCTTAAGAGAATCGAATCTAGACCTTGTCTTCGAGGGGAAGTGCCTCCAGAAAAGGCCTTTGGCGTCAATAAGGGCAGGTTATCTAATTTTGTTTTCGTAAAACAAGTTGGCCACGGCCTTCTTTAATAATGTAGGTTTTGTTTGTAACCTAGCCTTGTTGACAGTATATTTTTTGAGAAATTACCTAGTCCGGCGTCCTCTGTCATAGTAGCCATTGTAATTTCCAACATGTACCACTTGTTCTGGCCTATTCGCCAATGTTTCCTCGACATCATCATTGAGAATCACCATTTCTGGCTCCGAGTCACACCTTGCCAAGGTGAAAAATGACCCAAATCCTCACGAATAATTTTTTGTTGAAACTTTGTGGAATCTCTCCTCTCCCTTGCCTTAAATCATTGCTTCGTTTCCTTTCATTTATCCCTTCTTCATATGGCAAAGCTACCAATCTACACCTCTTTTTAGCTTCGTTTGTTCCAATATCTCGCAGAAGTATCTCTTCAAATAGATTCAGTGAAGCGTAATCACCCTAAACACTAGTTTCGCATTTTGTCTGCATGGCATCCATTTGCTCCCAAGTATCCTTTGACGAAGTCTTCGGTGACCGAAGCATACAAGCCAGTTCATGTAAAATAAGACCTATAAACTTTTATGCCTATTATTGCGTTAATACACTCCGTCTCAGCACTTACTCATCACGGACAGTATACAATCCCGAGAAAAATCGGAGCTATTTCCTACTCTTCTTCTTCTTAGAATTCCGCATCTGTAAATGGTACTTTTGGTGGAAGCGAAATTAAGGACAATTTCGATGCAGAATTTCCTTCGGAATAACCGTCTCTTAAGTTTCTCATTCAAGTGAATCCCCTCCTCATCCAATAACCGTACAACTACTTTTCTTCCAACTCCTTTGTGAGTCTTATCAGTAGCCGTCAAAGACAGTAGTAGTGGCATCTTCAATTCTTCCTTCAAAGGTTAAATATGGGGGGGTGGTAAATAAAGTAAACCTTATCGCAGGTTTGAAGGAAAGTTTTTTTAACTTTACAAGGCCTCCAACATTGATTATGCATCAAACTTTAGCAAATATCCAGTTCCCTTGAGCCTCATGTCACTGACTCTTTTGAGAAAGCGCAGATCAGTTCATCTCTGATCTCGATACTTTATTATCTACCTTGCATAGTTTGAAACAGATGAATTCATCCCGTGTGTTCGTTGCTCCGTGCTTGTTTTTGAGTAGTTGCCTCATTGTCGCCACATCTTTGTGCATCATCGTAGTCCTTATGCTGTTGGTGGTCTTGCGACCGTGCCTAAGGGTGGATTCATTGTAAAATGATCAAGTTCCACATTCATATTTGCTCCGTTCAGCATGTGGTGCGGCACGCCCTTGATACTCGCTGCTGGAATCTTGGTTAACCTTGGATATGGGTAATGCTGTCCTTACGTAGTCTATTTTTTCAGTAGACTCAGTCTTTTTGCATTACCACCATTTGCCTGCCCCCTTGTAACATTGAACTTATCTTTGTTAGACTATTCTTCTTCGTAGGCTCTTGGCCTACCAAAAGTTTCGGGATAATCTACATTTCATTTTGTCTCTTTTCACAACCCACAAGGGCATTTATAGCTTCCACTAGGACGTTTTGCATAATATCCCCGTCATGCGGAAATGCAATCTTCAAAACTCTCTTAAGACTAGAAATATATTTTCGAAATTGAAAGCAACCGCAGCTAAGGTCACTGCTTTAGTCGCACAAATGATGCTGGTGGGGGTGGTCTGTGTACTGCCTGGCAAAGGTGTTTACGAATGGATGCACACGAGTTGAAGTGAGTGAAGTGGAACCTCAGAAATAGGCAGGAGTGATAACGTGACTATTTTACTTGGTTCAGAAGTGGATAAATAAACTTATCAGTCTTCACATTGACAGAACCAAAGAAAACCAGACGTAAGGGCACCAGAGGCTGTGCAACAATAGGGCAGAGGTGAAGAAGATTACCGGGGCATGGGGTTTCTGAAGCCTTGTGAATAATGACACTGAAGCAAGTCCTCGCTGGGGCTATCTCACGTGTTCTAGCCTATTTGAAGGGCTAAAAAAATGATCAACTCCTCGAATACGACGGAAGCAGAGCCCGGAGTACAAGGGGTTCATAGAGAGCTGGTCGGGAAAAGCCTTGATTGTCAAGTAGAGCAGGGAGCTGCTGAAAAAAGCTTGGCCAAGTGGGTGGTTGAGTGGAAGTGCCGATTGGGGTTGATAAGCCCTTTGAACGGCATCTGAAACAGCGCTGCATGAGATTGTACTTGACTAAATCTACTTCAAGTGAAACTCTTGAGTAAACTGGAACAGACGAGGTGCCGATTGGTAAATTGGCCAAATAACGTGGGGCTGAGGGATGGGGATACAACACCGGGATCTAGGACAAAGGTCAAGAGGGCTGCCTTCACTTGTCCCTTTGGCGAGTTGCAACTCAGTCGTAAAAACGGCACCTACCATGATGCTAGGTAGAGGTCAAGGCCTGTACCAAATCAACCGTCATCGGCATGACTACAGAGCACGAAGTGGGTTCCACAAAGTCTTTTGATTACTGCAACAAAGTTCGAAAACGACATCAACCCGCGGCTACATAATCAGCCATCTCAAGGCTCTTATTTGGCCAGTCCAGATGCCCTTGCCAGTCAGTCCTGAAGGCTGCAGGTGGACATGTCGACATGCGAAGACAAGCACACAAACGCATGCACAACCCAGTCAGTTGGCCTTCTTTCCTCCACTTTGTTAACTGTGTCGACCGGTAAAGGTGGGGAAAGTCGTGGCAACACGCAAGTTCGCACTACTACCAAACCCGTCCCTATTCCAGTTGCTCAACCTGACTCATGAGGATGTTCGGTATAGCAACGCAGCGACAACTAATGCGAATCCATCTCTTCTGAGCACTAAAGCTCTTTCTCGTTCATTTGGTGTCTTTTTAGACGTCTGATGTCGTCTCGCAAGCAGGTCGTACAGTTTACACCCCCTCAGCCCGCCGATTAGTGTCGGGAGAGGATAAAGCCATCACAGGTTTTACAGTTCAATTGCTTTATTTCTATTCAGTTCAAGATCATAGTCGCTGAGTGAGTGATCAATGGTTGCCTTAGTATAATTGAAATAACTGCTAAGTATAAAGACATTTTCACAATTGCAAGTTAACTAGGCTAGGGGTACACTTTGTCCAGTATGTCGTGAGCACCAATGGAGCGAAATGGTGCGAGTGATGGTATCACAAGTGGCAGCAACAAAGAGATGAGGACACATTCACAAGCCGAAAAGTCTAGGAAAGGTGGCATGCGAAGAGACGACATCCATCAAACTTGACTGCGTCTATATCCGAGTCCTGACTTGGCTGCGGAATCCGCGTCTGTCTCTGGTCGGCCGCATTCCTGTTCTCCACCAACAGCGGCACAGCCAGGCATCAGGTTTGGTATACGCGACTATACAAAAATGGCCTAAAATTGTTTCCGTCTGAGAAGGCCGTGAGCCCCCAGTTGCCACACTTTCCACGGTCTGCGAAGGTTTGTCCAAGGCGGAGGTCGCAAATGGTGGAAAACGGCGGGGCCAAGGGTATATACACAAACAGTGGGTACATTTGTTCGTTTGTTCAAATCTGCCAGACGAGGGCAGATGAGCCTAATTCGAGGCGAGCGGCAGTTGGAGAGCTGCTTGAGGCCGTCTGCGGTGGCGGCGACAGACGCCGGTTACTGGCCCGTCAGGAGTTGGGTTGTCTGGCGGCCTGTCGCCCGCTTGGCCGTTGCCGTGTCCGTGTCTGTCTGGGCCGCCGCCGCCGCCGTCGCCGCCGCCTCGAGATAGAAGCGCAAC